CTCAGTCTCCTCTTCCCCAGACTGAACAACCCCAGTTCCCTCAGCCTCTCCTCATAAGACTTGTGCTCCAGACCCCTCACCAGCTTCGTTGCCCTTCTCTGGACCCGCTCCAGCACCTCAATGTCCCTCTTGTGGTAGGGGGCCCAAAACTGGACACAGTACTCGAGGTGGGGTTCGGCGTTCTTCCTGTCACTGTTGATGTCTTCACCCAAGTGAACTCTTTCGATCACTTCTATTACCTGGCTGCGACCTGTCAAATCCTTCTGAGACTTAAATGGATAAATCACAGAACCCTCATGGTTGGAAGGGACCTTGAGATCGAGTCCAACCACAAAAAAAAAAAAAAAGGTGGCTCTCCTCTGGACACGCTCCAGCCCCTCAATGTCCTTCCTGTGGTGAGGGGCCCAGAACTGAACCCAGCCCTCGAGGTGAGGCCTCACCAGTGCCCAGGACAGAGGCACCATCACTGCCCTGCTCCTGCTGGCCATGCTGATCCTGATACAGGCCAGGGTGCTGGTGGCCATCTTGGCCACCTGGGCACACTGCTGGCTCATGTTCAGCCAGTTGTCCACCAACACCCCCAGGGCCTTTTCTGCCGGGCAGCTCCAGCCACTCTGCCCCCAGCCTGTAGTGTTGCCCGAGGTTGGTGGGACCCAGGTGCAGGAGCTGGCACTTGGCCTTATTAAATCTCATCCCATTGGCCTTGGCCCATGGATCCAACCTGTCCAGGTCTCTCTGTAGAACCTTCCAACCCTCAAACAGATCAACACTCCCACCCAGTTTGGTGTCATCTGCAAACTTACTGAGGGTGCACTCAATCCCCTCATCCAGATCATCGATAAAGATATTAAACAATACTGGCCCCAAAACTGAGCCCTGAGAGACAGCACTGGTGTCCGGCCGCCAACAAGATTTTACCCCATTGACCACAACTGGCACGGCCCCACTTCACTCCTCCTGGTGACAACGGCCACCAACAAGATTTCACCCCATTGACCACAACTGGGCACGGCCCCACTTCACTCCTCCTGGTGACTCGTGTCTGACAGGATGGCAGTGCAGCAGCACAGACATGAGTGACTGCTGAGCTAGAGGTTGAAACCTGCCAAGAAACTACCTCAAATGGCACAAAGGAAAAGCAAAATCAAAGAAAGCCCCGTCTCCAACCACATGTCATGCCTGGGTTTTCCTTTTATATAAGCTCCTGCCTATGTATATATTCCTGCTGATGCTGAGCTCTGCTGGTTTTATACGTGCCAAAAAGGGTACAAAGGTAAAACACTGTGGTGTCTTTAATATAAAAGAAGAAATGAGTGATACTGGAAAATTTCTCTAGGGGGATTACAGTGACATTTCATTACCAAATATTTGAGGTATAACGTGATGACGTTGGTCACCTGGGAAGAGAGATGTATAGGGCTGAAGCGGAGAAAGGGGAGAGGAGGGTACCATAACCACACAACCCATTTTCAGTTCCACCCTCAGGCAGAGTCCTGGGCTGGGCTCTCGGTCACAATGGCTTTCTCTGCAGCCAAAGGGAAAAAGAGACTTGAGACTTGCAGAATGATCTCAGCTGGAATGAACCCCTAGAGGTCACCCAAACCAAACCCCATTCAGCTGCACCAGAGCCATGCCGAGCTCCGACTGTCCCCACAGATGGGAATCTGGCACCCTCCAAGGGCTCCTGCTGCAGCATTTGACCACCTTGACAGCAAGAGCCTCTTCCCAATACCCACTCAGAGCTTCCTGCATTGCCTTCTGCCATTTCACTGCCCATCATCCCAAAAGACTGTCACTCCAGCTCCTCTACATCCTCTCATCAGAAAGCTGTAGGAAGCAATAATTCCCCCTTCTTTTCTGGAGGCTGGACAAAGCCAGATCCTTCAGTTGCTCCTCACTCATCATCTGCTCAAGCCCTCTGACCATCTTGTTTGCTCTCCACCAGACTTGCTCTGGTATTTAACTTATTCCTTGTATCAGGGTGCACAAAAACCAGACACAGCACTGCAAGACCAGCCAGGTCCTGTTGCTACACTCTTGCTAGTGCAGTCCAGGACACGGTTGGCCTTCTTTGTCAGAAGAGCATGCTATGGCCTGAGGTTTAACTTATCCACCAGCATCTGCAGGGCACTTCCTGGCTTCCCAGCCAGGCAGTCCCCCTTTTTCACCCTGGTAAAGGAACTCCACGTTTGCCTTTGCTGAACTTCATGATATTCCTATCTGCCATTTCTCCAGCCTCCTGAGGTCCCTCTGGTGTACTGTCTACTTGCCCTAGTTTCATTTCATCCCCAGACTTGCTGAAATTGCACTCCATCCCATTGTCCAGGTCGTTAAGAACAAGATTGCACAGTACTGGCCTTGGTATCAATCCTGAGGGATGCTACTAAGGGGTTGGACTAGTTCATTGGCTGTGGCTTGAACTTGCAAACAAAGATCACAAATCTTTGAGCCGATTTTCCACCCACCTTATGGCTCATTCGATTCACATCTCACCAATTTGGCCATAAAAATACTACAGGAGACCACACTGAGGGCCTTGCTACAGTCAAGCTAAAAGCCATTCACTGTTTTCTTCTTGTCCACAGGGCCGATCATCTCAGCACGAAAGGCAATAGGATTGGTCAAGCACCATTTGTCCCTGGTAAATCCATCACTGGCTGCTCACAAACGAGATTTCTTGGAGCTCATGTGCTTGAAGGCAGCTTCTAGGAGGATTTGCTCTGTTACCTTCCCAGGGATTTGGGTGAGGCTGACCAGCCTGCAGTTCCCAGGACACTCACACTTTCCCTCCTTGAAGATGAGCACAATATTTGCCCTTTGCCAGCCACCAGGAACCTCCTCTGATTGCTAAGTGTCCTTGCAGTGACATCAACCCTTGAAAGTACCTTGTCTGGTGTCAGGGACTACCATACAAGTGCAAGAACTATATCACTATCTTTGTCTACTGTGGGTAATGCTATTGGACTGAAACCCAGGAGGGCTTGAGGACTAGTAGTGAAAGCCAAGGCAAAAAAAGAAAGGCATCAAGTACCTTTAATGTCCTTTGCCCCAGCCCCAATGAGCAGCAGGCTCACTTTTCATCAGCCTTCTTTGAGTTGGAAATGTACCCAGAGAAACCCTTCCCATAGCTTGTTTTGGCATTATCTGGGCTTTGCCCTGTCCCTGCAAGCTTGGCCACTGTCTCTATGTCCCCCCTGGACAGTCCCTCTCAGCTTGTGCACTTTCTTTTTGAGTTCGAGCTCGGTCAGGAGGTCCCTGGCAAACCATACCAGCTTTCTGCCAGGCTTGGCTCTGCTTGCAGGACGCTGGAGTTGGCCCTGCCCATGCTCTAGGAGGTCATCCCTGTAGATCAACCGTAGCTCCTCTGCCTCCTACAGCAGTCTCCCATGGGACTTTGTCAAGCAGAGCCATCAAAAAGCCAAAAACCACAACTCTTCTGAAGTGCGTGGTTGTA